GGAACGCTAATCCCCCACCTCCACTTCTGGTGCGATCCTTCCTTAGTACGTTGTAACCATAACAACGTTGTAGGCTGCAATTTTCATTCAGCTTGGTTTCCTGCACCGCTGCGATCTTAATATTCCTCCGACTCATAAATTCCACTATCTCATCTATTTTGCCTCGAAGTCCGTTGCAATTGAATTGCAAGAATGATGCACAATCCGGAGTTGGAACAGCAACATGTGGCGTTAGGTGCTGCGGTGTTGGTTGCTGTTCTGGAGACTGCGGTGGAGTGCCATACTCCGACGACGTCTCTGACGAGGACGACGAAGAAGAGGACTCGCTGGGGACTACGTTACTGCAGCAAGTCGCAACATAATCCCTTTCGCTGTAGTCTCGCAAACGCCTTAATCCGGAACAGTTCTTGAAGTGCACCCACTCTCTGCATCCATTACATCGCACCGAGACAGATCTGTGGTGGATGACGTTCTGACAAACCGAGCAGAACCAAGGTCCGGGGTTTTCCTCAATCCCGGCACGGACCAATAAAATCCGGAGCAAGCATTCCGGGATATGCTGCTCCCAATGCAGAAAAATAAACAAACACAAACATGTACATACTGGGTTGGCAGCCGCTGGCCGAAACTGGAATCTTGTTGTTTCGGGTCAATCCGGTATCGTAGAACCCGCTGCCGTGGGATTGGGAAGCTTTAGCGTCGACACAGCTGCTGGGACAATGAACTTTTGGAATTGAAAATGTTGAATGAAAAATTATTTAAATTTGTAAAAATTATTGAAAAACGTGAATTATAATAGCCTCCGACTCATGTAGTATAAGAAAACATATAAAAATCTACTTATATTTTTTTTTAAATTTTTTTTGACATGTCAATGCCAACCAATCGTTGATGCATCTACCTGTATTCTTCTGTCATGGAAAAAAAAAAAAAAAAAAAAACTATTATTTAAGCTGCTATCAGACGCTGAGTGTTTTACATATGTGCTATAACTTTTATTATACATTTATATTTTCTGATGTATGTCAGGACTCAATTCTTGCTATCATACACTTGCACATGTTTTTTTTTTTTTTTTTTTTTTTCATTTTCTTTGGTGACATCATGGCAAAATTAAGAAGATCAAGTCATTTCAAATAAACATTCCCATCTTTGCATTTTCTATAATGTAGCCTGTCAAATTACACTGCATGGAAATCAGGTTCAATGAGATGTTGTCAAATCAATAATTAAAAAAACAATGGTAAACATATGATTGCTTGACTTTACCTTCTTAGTTCTACCATGGTTATATGTCAAAGTTTCGAACTTGAAAACCATATATTTGTCGAAATCAAATTTTATGAAACCAACTTGAGGTGTGGCCTGGTAGCTTAAGCATAGATGTGTCATTTGGTCATTGGTCATTTTCATGGAAAAATCTTTGGTTTAAGCTGCTATCAGACGATGTGCTTTCACTTTTAATATCCATATGTTTTTCCTTTTGATTAAATTATATACTTTTCCGCTGAAAATAGGGCTCGCTGTGATCGAAATAGTACATATGTACTTTACGCATGTAATTGACAACTAAAATGTCGTCCATGTATCACACGATGTGTGCAACTTCTACATATGCGAAATTTGACACCACATATGTAAAACTCTTATCTTCTGATAGCGGTTTTAGTAATTTGACAGCACATATGTAAAACACTTATCGTCTGATAGCGATTTTAGTAAGAAAATCAAACTATTTTCCACTGCTCTTAAAATATTCCAAAATTCTAATAAAGAGGAACATAAGTTGTAATTTTTTATTCAAAGGGGTGGAGTTATATTTGCCCCTCATATTGTATTAATCGAATATGTAAAAAATAATAAATCGAACACCTTATGTTTTTGGTCAATTCAAATTTCGTCTCAGCAATTTGAGGTGTGACCTGGAAGCTTTAAGCATTTATTCATTCATTTCGCTGTCTTTCAAATGTGTTCTTATACCCTCCACCATAGTATGGAGGGTATATTAGGTTTGTCATTCCGTTAGTAACACATTGAAATATACATTTTCAATCCGACCAAAGTATATATTTTCATGATCAGCATAAAATTCTATGTCGATTTAGCGATGTCCGTCCGTCTGTGGAAATCACTCTTGCTTCCGAACGAAATGAAGTAGGTTGATAAAATTTTACTCAAATGTATATTATGTCTGCAGGACTTTTAGTATTGAAAATGGGCCATGTAGCTACCTATTTTGGTATAGCCGCCATATAATGGTACCTCCCGGTATTCGGTACTTTGATGATTTTAGGGAAATTATTCACCGGAATTGTTTTAAATTTGGTATTTGAAGTTCGTAATAGATACTACAGCCTGTGACAGAAAATTGTCTATGCAGGTGAACGTTTTGGTATACCCCCCATATAATGGTACCTCCCGATATTCGGTATTTTGATGATTTTAGCGACATTATTCACCGGAATTGTTTCAAATTTGGTATTTGAAGTTTAAAATAAATAATACAGCCTTTGACAGAAAATTGTTTTTGCAGGTCTACGCCTTCGTATAGCCCCCACATAACGGCACCTCGCGATATTCGGTATTTTGATGATTTTAGCGACATTATTCACCGGAATTGTTTCAAATTTGGTATTTGAAGTTCGTAATAAATACTACAACCTAAGGCAGAAAATTGTCTCTGCAGGTCCACGTTTTGGTATAGCCCCCATATAATGGTACCTCCCGATATTCGGTATTTTTATGATTTTAGCTACATTAATCACAGATTTTTTTCAAGTTTAGCATTTGAATATTGTAATGGCTTATGACAAAAGTTGCCTATGCAGGTCCACGTCGCAGTATCGACCCTAATATAACTGCTACACTCGGCATTTTTAAGATTTTAACAGAATTTTGCACGGTTTTTATTATTATTATTATTATTATTATTATTATTATTATTATTTTTTTTTTTTTGTTGACAATTTGTTCAAAAATCAATTTTTATAAAAGAAAATAAAAATGAAAAACAAAAAATCCACATCTCAATATACTGCGTTTATACCAGACCTAGTATTTCTTGATTTGTAAGGGGATCCGAAAGTCTGCCCTACACCTACATCTATATATGCATTTTACGAACAAACGTCAGTTGTTTGACCTATAATTAATATATTTAATAAATAATATATTGAATAATATATTTAATATAAGCTTTTCGATAAGTTGCTAAATGTCGTGAATGATAGTCAGCTGATCTTTGTTTACATATATATGTTCATACAAGGTTTACCGACTTCAGTACTTATAAAATATTCATTAAAATATCCAGACAATTATATCTATGTCGAAAAAAATAATAAGTATATATCTGCAGTTATAGTCCGATAGAACATTCTAGGAAAATTTTTCTATAAAGAATTTCTTTTCCAAGCCCCTAAACATTTTTCTGTAGAAATTAATTTCAACACCAGTAGCGCTAAATAGTCATCATATTTTTTTATATGATTGTTCTAAATATTCCATAAAAAACCTATTAGATTTTTTTTCATCCAACAAAATATTAAAAATTCTATTCACGTCGAGATTGTAAATAAAGAATTCGACGTGAATTTATTTTGAGCATGCGTTGTTTGGCAGGCTGCTTAGGCTTGTGTTTTATGGTGTTTCATTTCGATGACTGGCTGGTGCTTGTCACATCTACTCCCATGTCTGTTGTGGTTCGTCAAAATACGAACAATCGACAAAAATCCAAACAAGAGAAAAAAAAACAGACAGACAGACTAAACAAACGGTACTTAATGGTCAGTGGGACAAGTACTTTGATGTTGGATACTCTAATGGTGGAAAAAAGAGCGGTCTGGGGGAGAAGAAGAGGAGAAAAATGCGAGGAAATAACCGAGTGTGTATTTAGTTGTTGATTGTCTTTTTTTGTTTTGATTGTTTATTGGGGTGGAAATGGATGTTTTAGAATTTTTTAATCAAGTCTTCAAGCCAAGAAAAAAATATTAGTTTTCAGTCTCTTTTCACATTTTCCCGGTAACGATGTAATAGAAATGTTTTTTATATAAATCAACGTTTTCATAACATAAGTTACTAGATTTTTTAAACGTCAAATAAATGACGTATCTTTGTCAAATGGAAAAATGGTGTAAATTAGTCCATAATAGATTTCCTATCTACATGTGGCTTTTCGATATCTATTAGGCCACAATAGAGAGTTTAATAGGTTTTCTCTATAAGCCCTTTTTATTATGCAGATCTTAAAAAATCATAATTCGCATCCATCCCTAACAGCTGATTACAATTTTTCTGAATGTGTCAAAACAGACCAAGCATACAAAATTAATCCAGGTGTCAGTAGAAATAGAAAATTAGGACAGATCGATCAAATTTTGAAAGCAAATGCATGCGTTCCTATTATTTTTCGTTTTTGTTATTAAAAATTAAGGGCAATATCAACTAAAAGGAAACAATATAGATTTTTCTGATATTTGTTTTGTAATATTAAATAAATGTCTAAAATTAATGTTGTAGTTGCTGAAAATATTTCTGAAAAAGAGAAAAATATATGTATTCCATATAATACTTTTCATAATTAATTTCTTTCTACTGCTATGTAATAAAAAATTTAGTATATTATCCTCTATGTCATTGATTTTTAAGAATTGCCGTCGATTTTAACATTAAAAGCCAGTGCAAACACAGGCGGTAGAAAGTACAATTACTAACATTTTCCCATCTCTGCTGGAAATGAGAGCGCAAACTTGTAATAAATTGTATATAAATTTGAATTATTAATAAAATAAATAAAATGTATTAAATTAAGTAATATTTATTTAATTATGAAATTTATGTTTTCATATCAAAAATTCCAAAAAAGTCTCCAGCAACTCCCACACTTCTTCATTTCAATTTCCAATGACAACACACACCATCTCCATGGCCGATAAGAATAACGCATTACGCCGTTATCATACACCGCACTGCTGTGACGCCGTTAATTCCACTCACAATAGACTTGGTTCTCCAGGGGCATTAACGATGAGAGTCGAGTGCGAGCACACACAACAACCGTCAACCGTGAAATCGAAGTAATACTTTTTTTCCCATTGAAATAAACTAAACGAATTATTGTTTGAAATAAAAACAATCGAAGTGCAAAGTAGCAACAAAGCTAAATTAACTAAAATTCCGAAAACAACAAACATAACAAAGCCTGTTTTACGCCAAAAAAATAAAGCGAACTGTATGTGTGCCGAGTGAGCAAATTAAAAAGGACGGAAAAAGCAAAAAGGAACAAAGGAAGAACAAGAAGAGGAAGAAGAGAGATACGTGAAAAAGGCAACGAATCAACAGCAAAAAGCAAAATTTTAGGTGTGACATGATTTTATTGCATGGAAGAAAATACGAAGCGTAAAGAAGTTCCAAAAAAAAATAACACAGAGTGCGTGCGGTTAAAGAAGTATTGGAAAATCAAAAGCAAATGCACACAAAATTAAAACAAAATATTGTAAATTTCTGTTAACACTACAGCAACAACCAGAAATTGGAACAAAGAAAGAAAAAAATAAAGCCAAGAACGACGCCTTTTTATTGCATTTGAGAAATAAAATTGGAAAATTCTCCCTCATACAAAACTATCCATGTGTGTGTAGTGTGAGTGTTGTCCCCCTCCTATCTCCCATGTTGTGTTGTGTGTATGAGTGTTGTGTGTTTTTTTGTGAAGCAAAGATAAACCCCGTACATTGAGGCAGCGGCTATAGCAAAAACAACAACACCAATCATTTAAGCGGTGACGAATATTGCAGTAAGGATCGTACGACGCAACGACGACGCCATCAAATTTTCAAGTAGCGCGTTAGGCATCGAAAGCAAAGCCAAAGGCCTGTCAAACAAACGAACGAACGGCATCATCATGCAGAATAGTCCTCGTTCCAATGTCAATGGAGCCATCTCCTCGTTACCCAGCACTTTGGCACAATTGGCCCTCAGAGATAAACAACAACCTGCCTCTAATGTAACAGCCACTAGTGTATGCGTGGGCGGCGGTTCTGGTGTCCTCTCTAAGGCGGCCGTGTTACAACAACAAGCCAATGGTTCGCCTGGTGGTGGCGGCGGCAGTGCCGGAGATTCCTCAAATCTAGGCCATAATGATTCCAATAAGTTGACCACAGAATTACAAGAGAGAGAACAAGAAAATCAAAAGCAACAACTGCAACAGCAGCAGTCACAGCCCAAACAGAAGCCACCATTGCCAGTACGCAACAAGCCCATGGAAATTGCAGGTTACGTCGGTTTTGCCAATCTGCCGAATCAGGTGTATCGCAAAGCAGTTAAGCGGGGTTTCGAATTCACGCTTATGGTGGTGGGCGCCAGTGGTTTGGGTAAATCTACCCTGATCAATTCCATGTTCCTGTCGGACATCTACAATGCTGAACAGTATCCTGGTCCTTCCTTGCGTAAGAAGAAAACCGTGGCCGTAGAGGCCACCAAGGTGTTGTTGAAGGAGAATGGTGTTAATTTGACACTGACTGTTGTGGACACCCCCGGTTTTGGTGACAGTGTGGATAACACAAATTGTTGGGTGCCCATACTGGAATATGTTGACTCGAAATATGAAGAATATTTGACAGCTGAATCCCGGGTGTATCGCAAGCAGATACCAGATAATCGTGTCCACTGTTGTTTGTATTTCATTGGACCCACAGGCCATGGCCTGAGGCCGTTGGATATTGCCTGTATGCAAAGTCTGTCGGATAAGGTTAACTTGGTTCCTGTCATTGCAAAGGCCGATACATTGACACCCGATGAAGTGCATTTGTTTAAGAAACAGATATTGAATGAAATTGCCCAGCACAAAATCAAGATCTATGACTTCCCCTCAACACTGGAGGATGCGGCCGAGGAAAGTAAAACCACACAGAATCTAAGGACCCGGGTGCCCTTTGCTGTGGTCGGAGCCAATACCATTGTAGAGTTGGCCGATGGCAAGAAGGTGCGAGGCAGACGTTATCCTTGGGGTCTGGTGGAGGTGGAGAATTTGTCCCACTGCGATTTTATTGCATTGCGTAACATGGTGATAAGAACCCATCTCCAGGATCTCAAAGATGTTACCAACAATGTCCACTATGAAAACTATAGATGTCGCAAACTATCCGAACTGGGTCTGGTCGATGGTAAGGCCCGACTCTCCAACAAGAATCCCTTGACACAAATGGAGGAGGAGAAACGAGAACATGAATTGAAAATGAAGAAAATGGAGGCAGAGATGGAGCAAGTGTTCGACATGAAGGTAAAGGAAAAAATGCAAAAACTTAAAGATTCCGAAATCGAGCTGGCCCGGCGCCATGAAGAGCGTAAAAAGGCCTTGGAGCTGCAAATACGTGAGCTGGAAGAGAAGCGGCGGGAATTTGAGCGGGAACGCAAGGAATGGGAGGAAGTCAACCACATCACATTGGAAGAGTTGAAACGACGCAGCCTGGGGGCGAATAGCAGTACGGATAATGTCGATGGCAAAAAGGAGAAAAAGAAGAAGGGTTTGTTCTAAGGCTTGTTTGTCAAAGAGGAGTAGTAGAGAAGACTTAGTGGTTTTTTCCCAAAACAAAAAAATCGAAACGAAAATCTTTACAAATTACAAACAAAGCACAGCAGTATTTTTTCATTTTTGTTTTAAATGATTTCCCTGAAAATTTCCCCCCCCCCACTCCCTGAGATTTTGTTGAGCACCGGATAATTTGTAATATCCCTCTGGTATGATTATTTTAAACAATTATTATTGGAAGTTAAAAAACAACACGAAATTTAATTAAGAAAAAACCTTGATATTTGACGCTATTAAAATAGTAAAAACTTCTTTAGTCAGCAAAGTAAAGCGAACGAAAGAAAGAAAGAAATGGAATTTCAGCACAATTTTATGGAAACAAAATAAACTGCCAAAATCTCCCAAAATTTTCTCTAAGATACCTATTTTGCTAAGCTATACCCTACTTTTGATTTACTGTAGTTATTATGCCCTTAGCTATTCTCTAGATTTGCCGCCGCTTAACAAAAAATGAAACGAAAAATATGAAAGGAACCCCCCAACATTTTTGTAGTCCTTTTGAAAATTAAACCTAATTTCTATTAACTTTTTTTTATAATACACCATTTATTATATAAGTATATAGTCGTGTTACATATATATAAATATACCTACCTATAACCATTCAATATTTTGCAATATTCTGTTTCTTTTTTAGAATATACGATATGATTTGTATTTTGTTTAAAAGGCTTTACAACAGCAGTCCATTAAATACGAACAAGATTATTATCATTCATTTAGTAATAATAAATTAATTTATTATTATTTTTTGTAGGCCAAAAAAACAAAACATATATCAACCCCCTCGCCACAGACACAAAACTTTTGTAAATATAATCATTAAAAAAAAATAAAAGTTTTTCAATGTTTAAAATATTTGAAACCATCCCCACTTAGCCCTAGCCCGCCTAAAAATGTTTTTTTTTTAATTCGAATAAATGTGTAATCTTAACACGAAAAAAAATCAAAATAAAACACAACACTTTTTTTCTTTTACTCTCTCTTTCTTTTCTCTTTTGCAGAAATGTACTACTAAAACGGCAAGAAATCCCCCACTTTTTTTGAATTTGTGGACTGCCCAATTATTTAAAATTGATTTTTTTTAATTTGCTTTTCCAATTTTATTTGAAAAACAATAATAAAATGTTTTCTCCATTTAAGAATGCAATTTTGGTGTGTGGTTGTTTTAAGGAATATTTTTAAAAATTTTATAACGGATTGAGAAGACGAAGAACAAGGGCTGTACAAGGTCGAAGACAAGAAGGCTACTTTTTACAACAATTTTAGAATAAACAATAAGTTTTTACACCATTCAGATTTGGCTTTCTTTGAATTTCATCAAGTATTTTCATGAAGTATTTTGTTCTCAGATGGACTTACTGGTCGACACATGGCCTAAGGCCGACTTTATATAGGCATTGGTCATGTCAAAAGACACAATTGTGATTTGAAATTCAAAGAGTAAAATCACAAAAGTTCAGAAATTGTTAAGTTTATTTTCAAAATGTTCTCAAAAGAAGTTTTCTTAGGAAGAGATGTCACAGGGAGATGCACATGGCTAGATTCTTCATTCATGAAAATAGGTGTAAAATGAAAAATATTTTCTTTGAATTTTTTTCATTTGAGATCTTTGTGCCCTTCACTATCAGCAACACTTCGTTGGAGATCGCATAATGTATATATCTCTATGATCAACGTCCTTGTCGAATTAGAGATATCCTTTTGTTGAAATCACTCCAGAGATCAGATAATAATCACGGGGATTGCTCTTAATAGTGGTACTTCCTGATTTTTGGGTTTTTAAAGGTTCTTTGTTCAACTAAATTACCTCTGACTTCAGATTTCAGGTTCTCTGTGGGTTGTATCTGTTGATATAGCTCCCATAAAATTGAAAATTCAGATTTTTGGAAATTTCTGCTCCAATTACCTACCGAAATGACTGTAATGTCAAATTTCGACTTCTCAGGGGGTAGATAAAGTCCTCTCAAAAATATTTAATGTAGGCCTCCTATCAGATTGTTCTGGTTTTTGGGTAATTTGGAGGTGCCGGTCCCAATGTCCAACCAAATCGGCTGCATTTTGAAATTTCAGCTTCTCCGAGGTTAATTTCTTTAAAAAAAAATCTTTGAAGGTCTTCTTTTTCCTTAGGCCACATATAATTGTACCTCCTGGCTTTGGGTATTTAAAAGGTTTCTGTTCTAATTTCCAACCAAATTGTAGTTGTTAATTGAACCTCCAAATTTATGGAACTTTGAGGACAGCCGATTTGGTCAAGATTTAACATAGTGGAGGGTATAACAAATCGGTCGGCCGAAATGATTTTATTTCACATTTTCGTAGAACAAGAAAAGAGCTCAAGGTCCTGAGAAATTTTGTAAAATCATTCCATTTTGTTGACCTTAATGCCGAAAAGGAAACTCTTCTCATACTTGCGTAGCATATTATTTCAAAACTTTTCCTGGAATACAGATGTCTAGAGTTCGAAAAATAAAAGAGACCTTCACAATTCTTTTGGCCCCATTGCTTGACGCGATGCCAACAAATTTGGCCAACATTTTATTTTTAAAAATTTAATTTTTCATGGACATTTTGGAAAACCTGTATGATACCTTTAATAAAAACCTACAGAAAATTTTTGAATTTGTATTCTTCAATTCCTGTTTAGCATGTTTCTAAAGGCGTATTTTTTCTTCTTTCTTGGGAATTTTTTCTAATGAAATTTCGATAATGTAGCCAATTGGACAATTTTAAAAATGCCAATAATATCTGGAGACCGGTAACTTTTGCTTTTGAGGATATGATTTTAGATCTTCGCATATAATTTTTTCTAATTTGTATTCTGAATTCCAGGGGAACATTTCGTCTGCGCCGTATTTTTTCCTTGTTGGGACATATTTTCTTAAGACATTTTTGGAATTTTCCTTGGAGCATTTAGAACATTTTTCGACCAAAAATAGGACTCTGAGTAACTTTTGTTTTTTAAGGTTATGTTTTCAGATATTGATCATGGGGCTTCAAAATTTTTCCTAAATGGATTTTTTTATTTTTAAAAAATGTGAAAAAAAATCCCTCAGCCACATCCACCTTGGGTCCCCATAAAACAGCCACAACCTCCCGAACCCAAAAACCATGTTTAAGCAGCCATTGCTATTTTTCCATTTCTTGAGAGGAAAGTTTTTGAATGCGTATTGCTAAAGTAAGATTTTGCTGGTTTTCTCAGAAATATAATTTCAAAACAAATTTATTTATTTTTATACAATTTTTTTAATTATTTTTTTTTATTTTTTGGTTGAATTTATTATTTCTGTAACAAAAAAATAATGGAACTCCTCTGACGAAATAAAACGGAAGAGAATAACTTAAAAGCAAGTAATGCAAAGAAGGATAACAAAACTAAACAAAAGAAAAATACTAAAATAAAAAGAGATAAATAAAAAAATAATAAAATTTAATAAAATAAAAACAAAAGAACCCAAGAAAAAAAATAAATAAAGTATAAAATACAGCAGGAACTTGGTATTTGTAACAAGGTCAAAAGCAATTTTCCTATAAATGTAAAATTTGTCTGAAAAGATTCTGAAAATTCTGAGTTTGAGTGGAAATTAAAAATTTCATATTATTTTTGAGAATTTCGACAATTTTTATTTTAATTTTAGCTGTCATGGAATAAGAGTATCAAAAAAATTTTTTTTTCTATTTTGGGATAACTTTTGGGTACTTATTTCTGAAAATTTTTGATTTTTATCAGAATTCCTAAAAATGTTGTTGTTTTATAAAAACAATGTTTGTTTATTAGTGGAGAAAGATGGTAATGTTTACCAGGGGGTAAGGCATGGAATACCTAGGTTTCGTAGAGCCTCATCAGTTCTTTGTTTTTTTTTTTTTTGTCTGGGATATTTTATCCACAAGTTATTTAAAAAATAATTCCCATGACAAAAAAAAATTTACTAAAAATAAAAAAAATAAATTTTTGAGTTTTGTCATGAATTTAATAGTTTTCAAGAAGAATATTCTAAAAACTCAGGTTTTTGCCATTTTATCTTTTAAAGTTTCTTTAGTCATCAGGAAAATTAGATAAAATCCATAAACAAAAATTTCCTTTTTGGGACATTTTTCCGGAAATTTTTGTTTGCACTGGAAATTTTCCATTTTCATCAAAAACTATTCAAATATGCATAAAATTTTCGATTTTTATCAGAAATAAAAATTTTCCTTAAAGTAAATTTTTTATATTTGTTTTTTTTTCAACAAAAAAAGGAAATTTTTAGAATTTAAATTTGAATATTGAAAAAAATGTATTTTTTTGCCTGGAAATTGTTAGTTTTCATCAAAAATTACATATATAAAAAATAAATTTTAAAAATGCCTTTTGTGATTTCTTGAAGGCAAGAAATCGTGGAAGGAAATTATTGATAGCTTCCTTATGGATAGAATTCGTGTATTTATTAAAACGGAAAGCAAATTCTGATATCTTAAAGACCAGAAATTGTTGACTTTTTAACAAATTTTTGTGAATTAAAAAAGTCGAGATTTTTAAGATTGCATTTTTGAGAAACGGATTTTTTTTTGAGAAATTTTGAAAGCTCTCTAAAGGATTTGAAATTGCGTATTTTTAATGATTTTTTTTGTGTCTTCATGAAGACAAGAAATCGTGTAAATACATCTAATTTTCTTGAAGTTTGTTTTATTTTTTATCCATTTTTTGTAACTTTTTTGTAGACCAAAAATCCTGGATTTCCATCGTTTTTTGGAAATAATAACTACAGGAGTTTTTTAATGTTTGGAAAGCTCCCTAAATTTCAATTTTCTCAGAAATAATATCGAATTTTGTTTTTGAGGTTAGGTGTTTTGGATCTTGAAAATGAAGCACTGAAAAAAAAAACTCCTAAAATAATTTGTTTATTTTGTTATTGAAATTTTAAAAAATTAACCCAAAAACGGCCACCTCCTGCCGAACTCACAACATTATATCTAGCTATTGTTTGCAACCTTTCTAAAGGTTTTGAAATCGAAATAATTTTTAATAAATGTTTGTGTCTTCATGAAGACTAGAAACTGTGTATTTTTTCGTTTAACGTTTGGAAAGCTCCCTAAATTTAAATTTCAAATTTGATTAGAAATAAAAAAATTTCAGTAGAAATAAAAAAAAAAAAATTAAAGGGAATTTTTAAAATTGTTTGGAATAAATTTTAAAACATTCTTCCGCAAAAAATCTGCTTAAAGAGAAATTTAGTGTTTGGGTCGTTTTTAATTTTTTTTTTAAATTTTGGGAAAAAGTTTGTTATCCCTGAAATGGTTGATTTACATCGAATTCTATGGAAATAAAAATAAAATTTCGATTTTCGTTTGGAAAATATTAATTTTTTTATTTCCATAAAATATAAAATTGCTGAAATATGCTCAAAATCCAAAATTTTTCTTAAAGACGTTGAAAAAAGTAAATTTCAGATTACACCAAACTTTGGGGTAATAAAAATACTGCAATTTTTTGGAAATTTTTGGGAAAAATTTTGTAATTATTGGAATTGGTTGCCTTAAATCTAATTTTCAAAAAAAAAAAAAAAATGGATTCTCTTAAAATACAAAATTGAGAAAATTACTGAAATACTCTCAAAACCCAAACTTTTTCTTAAAGATATTGAAAATATAAACTTCAGATTACACCAGACCTTGGGTAATAAAAATATTGTATTTTTTTTTTGGAAATCTTGGGGAAAACTTTCTTTATAACTGGAAATGGCTGATTTACATCAAATTCTATGAACACATAAATATATTTTCAAATTTCGTTTGGAAATTTTGAATTTTTTTTTGGATCTCCTTAAAATATAAATTTGCGAAAATTGCTGAAATATTCTCAAAACCCAACATTTTTCATAAAGATATTGAAAAAAATAAATTTCAGATTACACCGGAAGAAGTTTGTTATAAGTGAAAATGGTTGTTTTACATAAAATTTTCCATTTTTTTTTTGTTTTTTTAGATCCCCTTAAAAT